TAAGTCATTGTGTACATTCTCTTGATGTCAGTGGTAGGCCAGTAGATGCATTTCTAGATGTTCAAGTTATAGAAGACACATCGGCTGCATCTGTGACAACCCACATCTTGGAGTTAAATGCTTGTCAGTCGGACCCCAAACAGATGACTGCTTGGGCATTTGATGGAGCTGCAAACTTCTCTGGAAGACATGGTGGAGTACAAGCTTTGCTCAGAGAAAAGTGTAACCCTAATCTCTCCTATACACACTGCAGAGGCCATCTACTCCAACTAGCACTAGTATAAGCTGCAGAATCTTCAAAGGACATTAAAAAAGCTATAAATTTAATGTCTTCATTATATTCTTTTTTCAGCAAGAGTCCAAAACGACTGAATATCTTGAAAAATATAGAAGATACACTGGGACTGAAGTTCATATTAGTCCAACCTGGAAAAGCCTTCTGGCATTCTCATGAGTGATCCTTGACTGTTGTCTTAAAATTACTCCAGCCGTTATTACTAGCTTTGGAAAGTATCTACCAAGATGGGATGGATCTAAGTAGTGAGGCTGGTGGATTACTTTTGCTACTACGTTCAGAGAAGACTACTGCCATTCTCTCTCTCATAAGTCTACTGTTGAAACCACTTGGGTCATTAAACAATGCTATCCAGGCATCTGCTACAACAGTAGTAGATCTTTGTCCAGCAATAGAAGCTACATTTGGATCAATCGGAGAGCTATCCATTGAAAAAGTACTGGAAGAAGCAAAGACTTCAGTCCAGAAGTTGACTAATGAAGGCATTTATATTGACTCCTTAAGTGAAGAGGACAAGAAGTGTTTGTTAAGACAACTGAAAAAGTACACAGACTTGATTCTTAAAAATTTACAACAGCAACTTCTAGATTCTACACAATCACTATGTAGCTTTTACAGATGCCTGTCCTATAAAACACCAACAGTTGAGTGGAGGGAGGCACTACCAGCAATGGGGCTGTCATGTGATCAGGACAGACTAGAGAATTTGAACACCAAGTGGAATATCATACGACGAATAAATGAAGATTTGACTTCAACTGCTTTTTTATCATCACTAGTGGCTCGACCCGATCTTTGTGCTATCTTTCCTGGGATGAAAGAAGTAGAAATTCATCTCTTGCCACTCCCAGTCACAACAGCTACAATTGAGCATTCTTTTTCATCATTGAATAGAATTTTGTGTTCTGAAAGAAATCGCCTTCTGTCTGATCATGTGACTGAACTAATGAGCATATCAGTTGAAGGAATGGAAGTACTGGATACACGAGAAGCCACCAAAGATGAACGCATTGCATTCAAGAAGTTCATTAACAGAGTTGTGCAAAATTATAACAAGAAACCACGAAGGATGTAGACGTAGTTCTTCATAGAAGGCTTGAGTAGCCAACCTTAATTTGTGTGATTTTTAAAACCTGAGTTAAATCTAATAAAATGGTCATGAAACATTTTTATGTTTTTACTGTGGTGCCATACAGCCCACCTTCACCCTCACAGTCTCACCCCTCATCGACCCTGACATCCCCCACCCCCTGTAAATTCAAATCTCCCCCCCCCCCCCCATTTCAATTCCTGGGGAAACAGCTGCTCACATCCACTCCACTGAGGAAGGGAGGAAACAAAATCAGTTTGAGGCACTAAGACCCCAATCCTACAAGGATTTACACGTATTTAACTTTATGGCCTGTAAGCAGTGCCACCGAAGTCACTGCACTTGCTTAAATCCTTGCAGAATTGGGGCCTGAGATGCTTTAGTGCTAAAAGCTTGTGGCAGAAGTCTGACAGGAGATCTTAACTAAGCTGGGGCAGTGTATGAAGGGAAGGAAGGCTTTTGATAGCCCACTTAGGGGGTCTAGCTATGGCAAGCAGTTTCAGAGGACTGTGTAAGGTGGGTGCTGTTCCTTAATTATGCTGCATATAAAAAAAAAAATGTATTTGCAGTATTCTAGTTTCACATGGTAGCTTTTCTTCCAGAACAATTTCTTTACATTGCAGGCAGTTGAATGGTTGTGTAATCAATCAACATTGCTGCAGAATTTAGAGCCAATATGCCAAATATATGTGGCGTTGGTCAATGCATTTCATATAAAGCCGGTTGAAAGTTTTCAAATGTAAATATTTCTTTATTAAAAATCTTTTTCAAAAATGAAAATTTCATTTTTTGTTAATTTTTTAAAATAAAAAACAAAACAAAATTGCAAATTTTCAGTTTTTCTTTAACCTCACCTTTTTTTCCCCTCTGATTTTCAGGGGCAAAATGAAAAAAAGGCAGAGAAAGGAGAAATAAGGGGTGAAAAAACAGAAAACCAAATATTTTGAAGCTGAAATGTTTTAGTAAAAATGTCATGAATATTTTTTTATCTCAATTCCTTTTCAAAACTTTGAAACAAAACATTTTGAATTTTTTGAAAACTGTCATGGGTTTTTTTTTTTTATTTTTGTTCAGCTTTAATTACAGAGCTATTCACTACCCATAAATGTTCTTAACACAGAGTTAAGATTGACCAAATGTGTGCTTTATACCTTCCCAGAATGTCAAGGTCTCCTATAGTTAAACTTCTGAAAACCAGAAAATACAGAATTAAGATATTCACCAGCCCTTGACCCTAATGCTGTGGCACAGCAACATTATAAAGGAGCAGTAGTGTCACCACATTTAAGGGTACATCAGAATTTCCACTTTAACGAGGGTGAAATGGTCTGCAAAACTTCTCTCTTTTGGGTTAGTACATCATTTTAAATGTGTATTGTAGTTTGTGCACAGCTTGATTTTTTTTTCTATAGCATTTTGTAGGGAGAAATGTCATTTGAGGCTTGCTATATGACAGTTTTTAAAAGGGCAATGTGACTGAAAATATTTTAATGTCTGCTATTTCCTTCAGACCTCTTTTTCATGGGAAATACTACCCTTTGAGGGATGAAATTGATACTGATTCCTTGATTTGTGTAGACTGAATAAATTATTGTAGAAAATTGAAATTTGTTCTATATTTATATTTCATGATAAACATAAGATGCTGGTTTTGCCTGAAAGCAGTATCCCGGTGCCACATAAATCAATGTTGACTTTATACCAGCCCTTAGAATAGGGCTCTTTATTATGGATGCAGTTCCCATAGTTACCCTGTGATCATGCTGAAATTATTTTTCTTTGGTTTCAGAGTAGCAGCCATGTTAGTCTGTATCCGCAAAAAGAACAGGAGTACTTGTGGCACCTTAGTGATTAACAAATGTATTGGAGCATAAGCTTTCATGGGCTACAGCCCACTTCATCAGATGCATAGAATGGAACATATAGTAAGAAGGTAGGGGGGTGGGTGTGTGTATCTATATATACAGAGAAGGTGGAAGTTGCCATACAAACTGTAAGAGACTAAATTAATTAAGATGAGCTATTATCAGCAAGAGGGGAAAAAAACTTTTGTACTGATGATCAAGATGGCCCATTTCGACAGTTGACAAGAAGGTGTGAGGATACTTAACATGGGGAAATAGATTCAATATGTGTAATGACCCAGCCACTCCCAGTCTCTATTCAAACCCAAGTTAATGGTATCTAGATTAACTAGACTGGGAGTGGCTGGGTCATTACAGTCTAGTTAATCTAGATACCATTAACTTGGGTTTGAATAGAGACTGGGAGTGGCTGGGTCATTACACATATTGAATCTATTTCCCCATGTTAAATAGGGTGGGGCCTCGGGCGGATTCAACATCCTGCTGCCAGCCTGCCCACGCTGTCCAGGGGTAGCTGTTCCTTTTGCCCCCCCCCCCCCGTCAGCGGCGGCCCAGGGTGGGGGCAAAAGGGGCAGGGATGTTAAAGCCATGGCAGCGCTTTAAGCAGGTCCCTTTGCTGCGTCAGCTCTTTGAAGCGCCCTGCTTAAAGTGCTGCCGCAGCAGTGCTTTAACACCACTGCTCTTTTTGCGTCGTGTGGTCCCCCCCTCCCCCCGGTTTGGTGGCCCTGACAGTAGGGACCCGGCAGGGCTCCTGAGGGGGGTGGCGCAAAAAGAGCAGCAACATTAAAGCGCTGCCACGGCAGCACTTTAAGGCGGTAAAGGCCGGTACAGGCGGCTATCTTTTACCGGTACCCCATACCGCCTTACTTTCACCCCTGCCAGACTGGCAGCGGGCTGAGCGGCTCAGCCCGCCGCCGGCCTGGGGTCCCGGGCGCCCTGAGCCCGCCGCCGGCCTGGGGTCCCGGGCGCCCTGAGCCCGCCGCCGGCCTGGGGTCCCGGGCGCGAGCCCGCCGCCGGCCTGGGGTCCCGGGCGCCCTGAGCCCGCCGCCGGCCTGGGGTCCCGGGCGCCCTGAGCCCGCCGCCGGCCTGGGGTCCCGGGCGCCCTGAGCCCGCCGCCGGCCTGGGGTCCCGGGCGCCCTGAGCCCGCCGCCGGCCTGGGGTCCCGGGCGCCCTGAGCCCGCCGCCGGCCTGGGGTCCCGGGCGCCCTGAGCCCGCCGCCGGCCTGGGGTCCCGGGCGCCCTGAGCCCGCTGCCGGCCGGGACCTGCAGTGTGCCATTTAAAAAAAAAATCGGCTCGTGTGCCGTAGGTTGCCGACCCCTGTTCTAGTGTATACTGTACTTTAAGGGCGATTTAAGGGATTTTCAAGGGAAATTTTGATTCTACGTGATTTTCATTTTAGCCGCTGACCTTAGAACCTCACCCCCGCGTAAGATGCGACTCCACTGTATTGGTGACTGGACCAACTGCTGTTGGTGAGAGACCCTTTGGCCCTTCCCAAAGCTCTTCCTTGGCTCCAGGCAGCTCCAGTTCTCTCTGGCCCAACAGGGGAACGATATTGTCCCGCCCACCTTGCGTCTCACCTACCAGCAGGGCTCCCACCACGCAGCCCATGGCCACGGTCCCCGCCTGCCCTTCCCCACGCAGCGCCCTCCGCCCTGCCCCGGCTCCCCCCGCTCTGCGGGAACGGCCTTTGCTGTGCACTGCCAGCGCAGTCCCCGCCAGGTGGCGCTGCGGCGCAATGGCCAGCGGCGCCAGACCTCCGCTAGCCGCGGCTTGCCAGGCCTCCTCAGTGGAGTTCCGAGCCGCCGGCTTCCCCGCCCTGCGCCAGCCCCTCTCTATGGATCGCCGATGCGGATGGGGCTGGGGAGAAGATGGCTCTGTCTAGGGGGCTGCGGTGCTGCCAGCGGGTGCTCGCCTGGGTGCCGGTCGTTATTATCACCCTGGTGGTGCTCTGGTCCTACTACGCCTACGTGTGCGAGCTCTGCCTGGGTGAGTGGGGGGGCTCTGCCCGGCTGGGCTGGTGGAGGGGCGGGGCCTCTCCCTGGGTGAGTGGGTGGGAGGGGGCTCTGCCTGGGTGGGCTGGGGGAGCTCTCCCCGGGTGAGTGGGGGGCTCTGCCTGGGTGGGCTGGGGGAGTTCTGCTTGTGCCTGGCCAAGGACCTGAAATTTGGGTGAGTGGAGGAGTGAAGTTCTGCTTGGGGGACTGGGGAACAGGATTGAGGGGGCACTGGATGAATAAATGTGATTGTGTGAAGCAGCGACAGTAACCTGGGGTGAGAGAGAAGCTGACACCCCCGTATTTCCCCCCATCCTGTATATGAGTGGGGTGTGTATGTGGGGTCTCCCAGAAGGAGAGGGGGGATTGAAGAGAGTCTGGCAAGAGGAAAGAGCCTAAATATTTGGCCCCAGCCTGGGGGGATGGGGAGGATTCATTCCCTTCCAGACTGGGGAGGAGATGGGGAGATACAAACTGTCAACTCTTAAGTGTTTTTTAAAAATCACTATTTAGGCCCCCCAGAATAATGGCAACTGTAAAAATAATAGTTTTTAGATGCTTATTATTTCCCTTCTGGGGTTTGAGTAAAGGCTCAAGCTTTTTCCTGCAACCATGAACGCTAGAATCTTTTTTTAAAGAAATAAAAGCTGAGATTCTTATGACTGTGTGACTCCAAGAGCTTGGGCTTGACACAAAACCCTAAATATTTTGAGACTTGTGATACCATGAGAGTTGACAGCACTATGATGGTAGTAAAAGCAGCATTCATATGCGGGGTGAGAGTAGCAGTGTTTGTTCTGAGCTGCACGTTTGGCCGTAAATAAATTCTTTGCGCATGGGCCCTTTAAATTCTTGTTGAGTAGATTACCCAGAAAAGAGACACATCCAGATATAGACCAGTTGGTCAACATCTGTGGTCACTTGGACACAACATCTGTCACCACTGATCTTGCACTGACTCTCATCTCAGAAGTGCGAGACAGGGGTAACAGTGACTAACTTTAGGTTTGCATTGTCCAATGCAAGAGCAGTAGCTCACAAACACACCATTATTTGTGAAGTTATTATGGATAAGGACCCTGATTCTGCTAGTATTACTGAGTCTTAATAGGATGATTCATCTGGTCTTGTGTTGGCACAGTTGGGTCCACAGGGAATGTCATTTATCATGAGTTTCAGGAGAGTTGGGGAGGTGGCTCTGCTCTTTGCATCTTACTATGTCTATACAGTTGCAGTAGCAGAGGGGAGTATGTGTAAACAAGCAGGGGAATCACACCCCGCAGTTAGTACTATAGATGTAACCTTAGATGTAGAAAGTGACTTGTTCTAATGACAGATATATTTGTTTCAGAGAGGTAGCCATGTGAGTCTGTACCAGCAAAAAAAAAAAACCCCAAAAAAACCAAGGAGTACTTGTGGCACCTTAGAGACTAACAAATTTATTTGGGCATAAGCTTTCGTGGGCTAAAACCCATTTCATCAGATGCCTGGAGTGGAAAATACAGTTGGAAGATATATATATATGTACACACACACAGAGAGAACATGAAAAGATGGGGGTTGCCATACCAACTCTAATGAGACAAATCAATTAAGGTGGGCTGTTATCAGCAGGAGGAAAAAAACCTTTTGTAGTGATAATCAGGATGGCCCATTTCAAACAGTTGACAAGAAGGTGTGAGTAACATTAGGGGGGGAAATTAGCATGGGGAAATAGTTTTTAGTTTGTGTAATGACCCATCCACTCCCAGTCTTTATTCAAGCCTAATTTGATGGTGTCCAGTTTGCAAATTAATTCCAGTTCTGCGGTTTCTCATTTGAGTCTGTTTTTAAAGTTTTTTTGCTTTTTCCATTAGTATGCCAGTTCCAGGATGCGATTAATTTGGGGAATGTTTGTGATGCACTAGGCATCCCACTACCCCAGATTCATGACTGAGTTCTTTTCTTAGCTAATGTTGAACTGGTATTGTTGGCTGTTGAATGTGGAGTTGAATCTGAATCTCATATTTTCAGGTGCTATGGCGATGGGTTCATAAAAATAAATATGAAGTTGAGGGGGTTGGGGGAGACACAGACCTCCAATAAAATTTCATGTTAATGGATCCTGAACCATATTTAAAGGTGGTTTTCATTTAAATTAAATAAAGAATAGTGAGTGATGCTGTGCAATGCAGACCAATTTCTTTTGTCTCTTTATCTAACCTAGGCTTTTGCTATTTGAATGATTAACTTATAAGAACAATGAGTGCTGTCTGCAATAAATTGCTTTGTTGCAGTACTACCTAAGAGGCTAAAGTGATTATTAGTAAGTTTGCAGGGAAGTTTAAAATAATATGATGCATGTAATAGTATTTAACATTTCCATAGCACTTTGTGGTAGGATGTCTGGGTGCAATCTATGAAGGTATTTAGGCACCTACATCCCATTTATAAGCACCTGAGTCCTGTTTTTAAGCACCATTGCAGCCCTTAAAACTCCTATTTGGCTACCACCTAAATCAATAGTTGCCTAAACTCACTCAGCACCTCTGGGTATGTGCACTGCAGCCTTTCTCTAGGTGCCAGAGATAGATCAGGTGAGTGCCCTAGTCACCAATCTATGGAATATCCTGATGTAGGTCTTCCTCAGTCGCTCCTATTGAAAGCATTCCACTTTAATTTAAACCAGTGGTTCCCAAACTTGTTCAGATCCTTGTGCAGGGAAAACCCCTGGCGGGCCGGGCCGGGCTGGTTTACCTGCCATGTCCGCAGGTTCAGCCGATCGCTGCTCCTTTGGCCTGGAGCAGCGAACCGTAGCCACTGGGAGCCGTGATAGGCCAAACCTGCAGACGCGGCAGGTAAACAAACTGGTCCGGCCCTCCAGGGGCTTTCCCCGCACAAGTGGCAGAACAAGTTTGGGAACCACTGATTTAAACAATGGAATAATAAATAGTAATTGGGCCAAAGAAAGAGTTAAAATGACTCCATAGCCTAGTGATTAGAGCACTCTCCTGTCAGATCCCTGCTCAGATCCCTTCTACCCCTCAGTAGGAAGGGGGACTTGAATCAGGAGAGTCTCTAGCATCCTGGAGGATTACCCTGTGCATTAGACTACAGGCTATATGGAAAGTCTTCCTGATCCTCCTGTCATTTGGTTTGGGTCCCATGTGCAGCTTTGGTGACCAAATGCCTATGTTTCTCTGGGTCCTGGATCACTAGTAAAGATGCCTCCTTGCAGCCCATAGTTAAGTGCTTATCTCTGTGAGAGGGGCCGGGCTCTCTGGTCAGCATCTCTCATTGGCTAGTTTAGGTGGCTCCCCACCTAGCATGCTGGCTTTGTGGATTACAATCTAAGGAGGGGTTTCAGAGTAACCTAAGTAATCTAAGGAGCCTATCCTTCCTCATTCATTTTGTAAGGAACCTAGGTGCCTAACTCAGGCTTTCTGGATCTCAGCAGCATTCGTGTGATTTTTCTAGGCACCTAAAAGGCATCGCAAAGCCTGAGTCACTTCATGGGTCACCACTTATGTGCCCATCATGTGACCCAAGAAGGAGTTAAACCTTCTCACTAGCCAGAAAGGAAGACACTGTACCTAAAAGAGATGGGTAGAGCTGACAGCTGTGTGTGTTAAGCAACGGGGAGGTGGAACTGATGGCTGTACCTCTTTATTGGGGTAAAGCCAAATAAAGGAAGGAGAGGTCATGAGAGAGGAGTGAGGGATGTTTCTGAGATGAGAAAAGAGCTGCTTTCTGGTCTCCTCCTAACCTAGAAGGCTCTTGAACCAGACCCCAACAAGGGGAGTGGCAAAACTGCAGAAACATTTGCTTGTCTTGTGCTCAGAAGGACTGTACTGGTGGTAGGCAAGGCAGTAACCATGGTAAGATCTATTTTTGTTTTTCTACAGTTGGACTAGGTACAAGGAAGTTGCCCTGCATTTGTTGTTTCATTTCAACACGTAGTCAAGAGAAGCCACCCCAGGACTCTTTTTTTATTCTCCTTTTACTGAGATTAGAACTACATAATTCCTTTTAGGAATTAATTTAAAGGGACTGTAGCCCCCAGCTGCGCAGATATGGTCAGTGGTTTATTAGCCCAATGACATAAAGAGGTTAACAAAATATGTACCTAAAGTACCATTGGAGTTTTGGAAAGTGTTTTGATAGAAGGACTATATAAGTTTAGTAATAATAATATTTAGTTCTTATAAGATCAAATCCAACTCCCATTAAAGTCAGCATCCAAATTCCCTTTATCTACTTCCACAGGCCCATATCATGCTTTTCGACTGTAGATTGTTCTGCAGCCACAAACTGGGTGAAGTGTTTCAAACAGGGTGACAGTGAGGGAAGAAGAAGTTTGTTTCCTGTGTTCTTGGTCAAACCATTGGTCTCTTCAAAGCCCATGCAGAGCAGACAGGACCTCAATGTCTAAAATTTCACCTAAAAGAGATGCATGCACACACACACACACACCCCACAAACACAATAACTGTATGAAACTTAGTTTATCTGTATTGGAAGGATGAATGGCTGAATTGATGCTCTTAGGATTTGAATCTGCTTTTCTAGGGAATGCACATATCTGAAAACTGATGCTTAGAGCACAAAGTTGGCCCTTCTGAACTCTTGGCATAATACAATTTTTCTTTTTCTTTTAAACAGATTCTGTAACATAGTACCACTGTGAGTTTGAAACGGTGTAGAGGTGATGTACTCTATTCCAGAGGGAATATCTCACACTATTATCACTGCAGCTATTGCTGCCTGATTTGGATATAAAGCCATGCTTCAGAGGGGATCTGGTTCCAGTGACTGGCTGGCGGATGCTACCACAGCATGAGAATGATAGGGAATGAGGGTGCTGGAGGTGTGAATATTATGCCACGTCAAGGAAGAGGGAAAAGAACAAACTGTTGCAAAACCATAGAGTTAAAGCAGGGATTGGCATTTGGCATGCGGCCCACCAGGGTAAGCTCCCCGATGGGCTGGGCCAGTTTGTTTACCTGCCGCATCCGC